AGTCCCCACCCAGATACCAGCACATGGTAACCAGAGAAACATAAAACATTTTGCTTGTTTTTAGAGCAGCAGCACATGGCACCTATTGCTGCACACTCCTGGGAATGAATTCAGCCCTCCTCTTCTAGCTATGGTGTAGCATGTACAGCTGGCACATTTGAGCTTTTGCTCTGGTAAGGGCAGAATCTATATAACAACTCTATAATTTTCACCTAACATTCAAAACGTTGCAGCGTGCATCTGTGATTTATTAATGGGCAGTTCCATTGCAACTTCTCTTTTATCAGCTCTGTGTTTTGCCATGATTAATTAGGTGACTTGGATGCTTGAGTTTATTTAGAATGCTTAGCTAGGGAAAAGGTATCCCCTGACAGGACTTAGACTCTAAAATATAGTCTCACCAGTCCTCGGTGTGAAATAGTTCCTCCGCACCCCCCGCTTTTTCTGTCAAAATCACATACCATATAAAAACTGTCTATTCTTCCAGGATGAGTAAGTCCTGAATCTATTGAAATCAATGGGAGTTTTGCCATAGGCTTCAATGGGGCAAGGATTTAGACCAGAGGCTTTTTCTAAAGGGTTGATTGGGTGGAAAAGATGGAATTTATTCCGGCAGGTATGGATCTTCCCTAATACTGTAAGCCGTATCACAGATATCTATATACACCTACACGGACTTTTAGTTTTTTTGTAAGAAAGGCTCACAAAAAACTCATAAAACTAGGGCTTTGTGAAACAGCACTGCTTTGTTTTGACTTCCTTTTTGCTGTTTCGAAGGGACAGTGTTTCATTTCACTGTTTCAAAGCACTGTTCCATTTCGTTTGGTCGAAACTATTTCATTGTTTCGACACGTTTCGACATTTTGCCCATGGGCTATAATGGGGAATCATGAAAATGCCTATAACTTTGTCATTTCTTGCCTGATTTAGATGCAACTTGCAGCGATAATAGCCCCTTCTGAGGGTATGACGCCTGCCAGGTTTCAAGATTGGTGCTGGGGTTTCTGGGAAACTGCACCTCAAACTTTTCAAGGCAAAACTCTTATCACTAGCGGGCAGCGGCAGCCTGCTGTCATCCTGCATGCAGATTTGGGGGCCTGAGCCCCTCCCAGGAGGGCTGTGGGGCTGTGCCGGACTCTTAGCAGGGGTGTGGGCCCCCAGATCTGTGTGTGAGATGACAGCAGGCTTCCACTGACGGCTGGTGTCAGTGCCAGCACTGGGTTCTTCCCAGCACTTAGTGCAGGCTGTGCCAGGCAGACTCGGGTGCTGGTGCTGGCCCCAACCGGCAGCAGCAGCATGCTCTCATCCCACGTGTAGATCTGGGAGCTCTCTCAAACAGGGAGCTAGATGTCAATATCAGAGCAGTCCTTCCCCCCTCTTCCCTTCCCTCTCCTTAATTTCTGTTTAGCTGCAAGCAAGCCTGGCTTTGAAACTCAAAACATTTCGAAAGTTTTGAAATGTTTTGAGTGCCCTTGTTTCATTTTGCAGCTGTTTCAAAGCCTTTTGTTCCATTTTGATTTTGCTGTTTCAAGCTTGAAATGCATCTAAACAACTTTGAGATGAAACACCTGGCAAAATTTTGCACAGCCTTAATAAAAGCCTCTGTTTTTCAGCATCCAGCTGAAAATCCAGCATGGGGGCCAGATCTGGCCCTTGGGGCTCCCCAGTTAACACTGCCACTGCTCATCCTGCTGATAAATTTACAAAACTGTGGGGAGCCCTGTGGGCCAGATCTGGAGCATGTAGTGGCATTATATGGTCCACCTATCTCTTCTACTGCACAGCTCTGTAGAATGTTTAAAATCTAGCTAAAAACCTTAACTCAGGTGTGGTAAAACTAATTCAGATGTAGAAATGACCAACAGTGAAGTATTGGAGGCACTGTCAAGATGCTCAATCTAAATAAGAAATGTACATTTAATTAGAACAACTACAGGACAAATGACACAGTATCTTTTGACAATTTTTGCCTAGCTTGCTACATTTCCTTAAACTTAATATAAAATCTAGCAAATTAGTACACATTCCACTAGTTATATTGGTGTTTGCTTTGATCTTAAACTGAATAATATAGTACTAGCCTTCTAGCATATTAGTAAAGCTTCTAGTTTCTCTGTAACTGGAAAAAAGTTTTGTGTTGGATATGATGATGCACAACACCATATGCACCCACCTTTTCAAAATCCTAGATCTGCCCATGCTTGTATACTTAATCTGTATTCTTACTTAATTTCATTATTTCTGTTATATTAATTATTACGGGTGTGTAAAGCTTTGGTCACCAGTTCAATATGGAGAGGATTCATGTTGATTTGGCAGCTGAATCATCAAATCCAAATTGAACCAGGAGACCCATTAAAAGCTCTGAATCAATTTGAAGCATCCAAATTGATTAAAAAAAGATTCAGAAAAAGATTTGGTGATTCGGAAAAGGTGGTCTTGTGGGGAAACCACTGAGAAGCGGGAGGGGGAAAGGAGGGGAAAGACTGCTTTGATATTGACATCTGTAGCTAGCCAGTGACTGTGATCTTTCCCTGAGTTCCTTTCCAATCATAGTGCTCTGGGAAAGGGACACAGAAACAGCATATAAGGCTCTGTGTGAAGCCTTTCTGTCCCTTTTGTGAACTGTCTGGAAGCAACAGCGTGTGAAAGGTACTGGCTGCAGCAGGTGGCTTCCTAGTCAGCCTCTTCACTCTTTTGCTAGCCTCTCTTCTTGGAAAGGATTGGATACACCTTTCCAATATATTACAGGTAGAAGATATAGTAAACACAAAGAAGATATAGTAAGCAGATAGAAGAAGATATATTGCGCGCGCGCGCACACACACACACACACACACACACTTTCCAGCACAGCAAACATTATGAAGCATGCTGGAAAGGCAGGTGCCAGGTCTTCTGTCAGGGAAGCAAGAGGGGCTGGAGGGGCTGGAGGGAGAGCTGCAAGTTCCCCCCCGCCCAAACTTAGATGCAGCCTCTTTCCCAGCAGCCATGAGGCTTCTGCAGCTAATGGGAGCAAGGAGGTGGGAACAATACCTGTCCCTGCACCTGCACCACCTCCACTAACACCAGAAATAGCCACCAGCACCAGCATGACAGTCTCTTCCACCCTAATTTCAGCTCCCAGCATGAGCCTCCCAGTGCCAGAGGAAGAGCTGGATCTGGAAGCAGGGGATCTGACTGCCATAGCCAGGGAAATTCTGAGGAAGGAGGGAAAGTTCCCCTACAGGCAAGTCCCTTCTGGAAGGCACTTTGGAGGAGGTTGTGGGAGCAGGTGGCTCAGGTTCCCCTGACGTTGTGCAAGCCTGCTGAGGAGGGGGATGAGGCAGGATCCCTACCCTCAACCAAGAAGGAGGGGGGTAGTGTATTGTGGGATCATTTTGAGTTGGCAAATGATCCCAGGTATACTACCTGCCAGCACTGCTGAAGGCAGATCAGCCGGGGCAAGGAGGTGAAACACTTCACTACCACAGCGATGCTGCTGCATCTCGGGAGACAGCCCCCCTTGCCTTTGCTTCTCCTCAGCCTGGCACCAGTGCGAGCATGCCCAAAAAAGAAGTCCCTCTCTCACTCTAAAGCCCCTGTCCCCACAAAGCAGAGGCAGGCTACCCTGGAGTGGTGAGGGAAAGCCACAGACAAAAGTGGGGCGTGTTGCAAGGGCAAGCAAGGTCACCCAGAGCACTGGGGAGATGCTTGCTCTGGATGGCCAGCCATTCTTCTTTGTTGAGTGTCTAGGGTTCAGGCAGCTCATGGCTTTCTACCCTGTTCTACTTCCAGCTGTGGGATGTCAGAGGACAGAGTAGCCAGTGCAGTCCTCCAAAGACGACATAGATATTTCAGGAAGCACTTCAAAAGGAAGAATTTCAAAGATGATCCTCATTTTTAATGATTATTTTCAAAGTGCTTCAGCCATTTTTGAAGTGCTTCTTCACCTGTGAATGTCTGTATGCTTGCTCTTTGGAGAGCTTCAAAGGTATATGGAATACTTCAGATACTACATCTTTCTAGGGCCTGAGTCACTGATAAGTATTTTATCAAAAGACCAATCTTCCTCTCCTCTTTATCTCAATAAATGATGACATAAATTTCATACATCTTGAATTTTGTTCACTGTTTAACAAATTATCATAATTTTAACATATGCAGTGTATCATTGCAGACTAGAGAGGTTGAGAAAATGTATAGAATCTGTTTCTTTGAGAAAATACATTTCTGCCAGGTAAATTTATGAGAATTTTTTAGTTCTTTAAAAATTGGAAGAAAACTGTATGTGCTAATTGTCTGCAAAATGACAACAGCTTTCAAATAGTTAATAACTAGTGCTGGAATGATTTTTTCTCAATTTTAGAATCGTTTTCTCTTCCATTTTCTTTAGTTTTTCTAAATAAAACTTTTGGGCAGGTGTTCTCAAAGCATTTCTATATGGATTGTGTTTTATCAAAATTGTTTTGCAATCCACACCCTTCTCAGTTACAATCATGTAACAACAACAGTTGCTAATACAGAAAGAGAAAGTAATATCAAAAAAATATGCAGTTAAATTGTAAAGTCTTTAATGAGATTTAACAGATTGAGAATAAAGAGAAGTCAATACCATGTGACCATCCAGTTTTTTAAAAACCAGCAGCAAATTCTTAGAAAACCCTACCTGAGTGAAGGAAATAAAATAGGACAGTATTTAGCAGATTTCTGCTGCCACTTCATTCTCTGCCAACAATTTAAGTCTATTCCCACCTGCATCTCTAATATTTGGGGTGCCTGGTTCAGGCCTGTTTCCTCTAAGAAAGATACAGTAAATTCAGAGTAGAGACAGGAACTTTTTCATGGACAAAATCTTGCACAGTTAAATACCTTTTTATTATAATCACTGGCAAGACATAAAATTATGCATTGGTTTAAATATTATCAATAATCCATAACAATCCTGTAAAACTGATTTGTAGCAGACCCACAATAAATAGTGTGCTGGCAAAGTATTCCAAAAGAAATAAGACACTGACCTTGAGATTGGATAGGCAGTTATTGAGGAAAATATGCCATCTGTTTAAAAAGAACTGCTTCTGACTGACACAAAGCAGGCATGTTACCAAAGGATACAAAGCCTAAATAGGAAGAAGATGATACAGAATTATTTGTATGCCAACAAAACATGAACCTAATTTAACACTAGAATCACTGTAAATTTACAGTCCTGCCACCCCTGTGCTATGCAGTATGCACAAGCCAACATAAACATGTTATTCAATAGCATAATTTAAAAGGAATGTTTCTCTAAAGCTGTTATGAATTTTTATGGATTACTTTGTGTAAATGTAGAATTACATTTGCACTGAAAACAATGAAATGCCTAAGTACTATTATAAGAGCCTAAAAGACGGGCCAAAATTTTGCAGCCACACAGGGCTAATTTCTCTGCCAGTTAACTTGCAGTAGCTTGGGAAAAACTGCACTGTACTATATTCAGCAACAGAAACCCCATAGCTCATTGTGGTTGTCAGTTTTGAGAAGAACTAACTCCCGTCAAAATCCACAGCCATGAAATTTATTTGGAAAGCTGTCAAATTCCATGGGCACATGCTTTAAATTATGGCCAGAACGTAAGCCTTCTGGAGGTTACATCTTGTAGGGTAGCTATTGAAAATGAAGAAACAGACAACACACCAGATAAAAACTCAAACAATGTAAGCTTTTTTGTTGTTTTTGGTCCATATCTATTTTTAATCAATTTTTGGCAGTGGCACTGCAAATGAGAGGCTACAAATATTATGCTAAAATCTGGGATACTGATTTTGACATGGGTCTCGCTGTTTCAGTGCCTCACTTATTTCAGTTCTGGTATAAATACGGCCAGAACTGAAATCAGGCCTACGAAAACCAATGAAAAAAAGAAGACAAATTTTTCCATCTTAAAAAGATGACACTTAAGCTCCATCTACATGTTGCACAGGGGCTAGAGACAGACATTACACATAAGCCAGTTTAAGTGATCAGAAACTGGTTTAAAACGGTAACAGAACAGATGTTCACTGCACACAAACCAGTTTGAGAATGGCTGAAACCAGTTTCAGATAAACCTGATTGAATGCAGTTATCAGACTTAACTGATTTGGCTCAAATCATTTTATGCAATGTCTGTCCCAGACCCCTTGCTGGTTTAAGTTAAATCAGACTCCCCCAGCATCTCAGCATGCTCTCTGGATTGGGTGAGGCTCTCTGCCCTACATCAGGGCTGGCCCCTCCTCTCTGCTCCATGGCTGCAGCTTCTGCAGAAACTTGCAAGCACAGAGCGTCTGCGTGCTCCCCTGCTTTCCCTCCCCACTCTGTGCTAATCAGGCCTTTCACCCGTCCCTCACAGACACCTCAGCATTAGCTAGCAGACCACATGCTGGCTACCTGTGAGCTGTGGCACACAGGATAAAGGCAGATGTTGCAGAGCACTTAGGTGCCCTGCTCCTTTGAAGAGTGGAAACTGCTAGGGAAAGAACCCTTACGGAGAGTGGGGAGCCCCACAGCTGCTGGTTACCAGGGCAGCCAGAATGAGCTAGTGGCCCACATTTGCCAGCTGTCAGCTGACCAGAAGCGGCAGGGCCTGGCTCACATATAAACCCCAGGGCTGAGGCTAGGATGGCAGTTCCCTGCCAGCAGCCAAGGGGGAAGGAGCTCTCCCAGAGCAACCAAAGGGGAGAGGCCTGACTGCAGGTACAGCCTCTGATACTGGTGAGGGACAGAGCACCCCTGGTGTGGCTTGAATGATGTTATAGCTGGGAGGCTTGAATATATATTATAGTCCAGGGGCTTGTGTTTTGTTTGCTGTTTAAGACCAGTGGTTTGGGTGAGGCTATTAGGGGATGGAGGAGGCCTCATAGGGGACCCACAGCAGCGTGGGGACCCCGGCGCCAGAGAGGGCGCAGCATTTGGGGTGCACTGACCCTGGTGCCAGACAGGGTGCGACACTTTGCAGGGCTGTGGAGAGCCCAGGCTCCAGTGAGGTGCGTGGCGAGACAGGGCTGCGGAGGGCCCAAGCGCCAGTGAGGCGCAGCACGAGACAGGGCTGCGGAGGGCCCGAGGAGGACCGGGGGGCCAAATTGTAATAACAGACCGAACAATGTTGGTTCCATCTGCAAGGCTTGGGGTGTGGTAAAGGGATGGTTGGAGCCACGCATAGCCCATAAGGCTAGGGTGCCCCAAAACACCCATTGCAGAACAGGACCCACAAGGGGTCCAGGAGCCCACGGGGTTAGAGAGTACAGCAAAACCGTGTCCAAGACAACATAAAGGCAGCCTCCCTATTATATATTTACCATCAAAGACGCGGTGGGCGAGAATCGAGGGTGCCCATTGGGCGAACTTGGCATGGTAAGGGGGCCTTAGGGAGATCAAGGCCATCCTGCAGGATCCCGTGCCGTGACAGCAGAATTAACAGATACCTGGTAATGTCCCTCTGTTTTCTTAATGGGGTGATAAACACTGAGTTAGGGCTGATAAACATTTCTTGGTGGTCTGCTCAGGACGGGGGGAACCCATCCCTAATCATAGTGTCCTGCCAGGGCCTGGCCATGCCCCCCTCAGCTAAGCCCTGTACAAGGGAAAGGAGGGCTGCTCTAGTGTCCCCCCGCCCTGGCTTCTAGCCTGAGCCACTGCAGGTATGTGCCTGCATTTCTGGGATGTCTGTCTGGTTACAAAACTGATTTAGCTCAGCCAGGTTAGACTAACCTTCAAAGATTGAATCAATTTAGGCTTAGGCTTTTTGAATGTCTGTCCCTAGCCTTACTGTGTGATTATTATTAAGAAGTTAATCATGCCTTAAGTGATCACATGGCCACATGTTCATTAATTTAATGGTGTGATAGAGGAATATGTTGATTGAAGCTCCTAGCTGGGGGGGGCCCATATGCATCCCAGAGCCTGGGAGTTCCTAGCTGATGCTGGTTGTCAGACTTGGGAACAAATCTCCTTGTGGTTGGAAGTCCTAAGAGCTGACATGCACCCCCTGTGGCTTGGAGACCACAGCTGATGTGGTCTTTCAAGCTGTGAGGTGCTTCATGTACCCTTGTGGCTGGGAGATCACATCAGCTGTGGTCTCCTTGACACGGGGATCCCTGGGGCTAGGAGTCTGGGTCAGCAGATAGGGCTCCCAGGTGGAGGAGTGCATGGTGTGCCCCAGCAGCTGGGAGCCATTAGCTGAGGGACCTCCCAGCTGCAGAAGCTTGAATCTTGGTGGTGAAGAGGGAGCCTAGGATCAGGCTCCCCCTGCAGCTGCAATAAGGCATGATGGGATCTGGTCGCAATCCCACAGTCATGCATGGCAGGAGGCACATCTGTGTGGATCGCGTATTAGATCCCATCATGCCTTTACCTGAATGTGCAGAGGGGCCCTATATCTTCCACACAGGAATATAGTAGCCAGGGAGCAATTCAGGTTTCTTCACAGTTGGCTTCCTCATCAGCCTGAACAACGTCATTCCTGTGGTAGATGAATAGTTGTCTTCAGGACAGTTGACTGTATAAAGACTCTAATAGTCCCCAGAACACGAACCTTATAGTAAAAGCATACCCTCTAAACCATAAAGAAATATACATTCTTGTTTAAAGAACATCAATACACCATCACCCAGAAATACCTGCTGCACTTAGCACTGCCAGTTGCTTGCCATTTTCTTCCTCTTCTTTGAAATGCTTGAACTCTAACTACCCCCTCCATGTAACGTATTCCATTTTGTAACTTTAAAGCATTTGCCCTTCAATTTGGTATTTGTAGGAAAGTGTTCAGACAGAAAAGTCCCAGTTGTGCAACCATTACATAAGCCAAGTACATTTACTCTGAGTAGTCCTACCACCATCTATAGAATTGTTTGCTTACTACTCTGTGTGAGGATTGAAGAAAAGGATTTTGCTTGCTGTCATTTCCACAAAGTTTTACTGGCATAATAGAACTGAATACAGACAAAGGGAAATCCTGAATTCATTCAATCAACCTACAAAGAATTGTTGACTCTGGTGGAGTTAGGCCTTCACTCAGAGGATAGTTATTTTGGCTGTCCTCTGGAATTGGACGGGGACTGGAGGCATACATATATGGCAGGAGGTGCAATTGTGGGTCATGGTGCACCCCATTAGTTCTCACCTGACAATAACTCTGCTCTTTTTCCTGCCTCATGATAATAGTCACAATAGCTGCTGGTAGGGAAAAGGTAACCACTTTATAACCAGAAACTCAGATCTCAAGGTATCGGGTGAAGTCAGAATAACTTGGATAAAATAAACACGGATATCTTTTAAGAATACAAATATCTACTTTTGAAATAACATTTTGTTTTATGTGGAGGCAGATCCATAACTCTTTAGAGATTCTTGCCTACAGAGATCTCTGACAAAGAAATGTCATCTTCAGCTTACTCAGGTTTACTAACCAGTGAGTGCTTCTTTCGTGAAGAAAGCTCAAGTGTTGTATCATACAAGCTTTCAACAAAGTTCCTCAGACAGGGGACATTCACTTCATTCTTAACAGCCTGAAAAAAAGATTTAATGTTATATATTAATTTACATATTGGCTTTTCCAATTTGAAAAATATCAAAATAATGCAAATACACAAACTTACAGCAGCAACAGGGACAAGAATTTCAACAAACAGTCCTGCTAATGCATGTTTGATATCTTTGTCTTTCACTTCAAGGAAATAATGTGCACATTCCTGGAAGAAAACCAATGAGAAGGAAAAAAATTGCATATCAGCTGGAATAAGGACATCTGAATGCTAGGTAAAAGCACAGTGTGATAAGTATTATTGCCTATTGTGCAAATCCTGCAAACATTTGATCAATTGATTAAGGAAAGGTCAAATAGCTATGATCCCGAGGCAGACCTAGGAGAGAATTGTTGCTCTCAGAATCACAATTTAGTGTCAGGGTCAAAGAGCCTGGGTAGTATGTAAGGAGGGTTCTTACTATCTTTTTCTCCCTTTCAAGAACATGCAAATAAATTTACGCCATAGATCATTATATTCTAATTATATGATCTAAGGACCATATCCTATTCCACCACTTGGGTAACTATGTTGTACTTACATGTCTCAGTGTGATCCTATTCAACCCTGCTCAAGTTCATGAAAAACTTAAGTGTAAACTGAAAGCTGTATAATGAAACACATCAAATAGGGCTGATTTTCATACAAATACTTAAAATATGTTATAATACATGTGTACTGGGAGCTTGGCATTGAGCTGGGCTCTCAGGCTAAGTACAGATGTTCAAAAAGCCCTTGGACGAAAGTGCTCTAATTATCACACTTTTCTTAAAGCTGTATAAATTAGATGTTCCATGTTCCAACAGAACAGATGTGTGGTTGGGATGGGGGAGAGGTCTTGGTGCCTGCCTGCAGCTGGCCAAGGCCAGCAGATGGGGCACTGCTGCATGCCTCCTAGGAGGCTGCTGGAGCAGCCGCCCACCAGCCCTGCCTCCCTTGTGGCTCAGGGTGGTTGCCCCCAACTGCAAAAGCCCCTCCACACTTGCTAATTGGGGTCACTGGAGGGGCTGGGCCAGGCAGGGGGGTTCCTTCCCCCCTTGGCCACAGTTCCAGGCCGCTGGCTGTCACTGTCAAGAGGCTGGGGTGGGGGGAAAGGGACCCCCCCCACCAGGACGGCTCCCCTACAGATTGCAAATGAAGTCTTTGGGAGGTGCTGGGTCTGGTCCCCATGGTGTGGGGGTGGGGGTGGCTCCCTTTTTCCCTGCCCCAGGCTCTTGACAATGGCAGCCATCAGCTGCAGGAGGGGGAGTCCAGCTTTGCGTTTCCCCACACCAGGAACTGGAGCCAGGGGTAGGGAGCCCTGTCACTGCACAGACCCATCTTGGCTATGCCAAAGACCCCAGCTAACAAGCTATGGAGGGGGGGCTTTGGTGGTGGGGAGGGCTCCCTTTGCCCTCACCCTAGCCTCTTGACAATGGCAGCCAGCAGCTGCAGATTTGCCCAGACCTGCATGTTGTTATGCTGGGAACTGGCACTGGAAGGGGGAAGGTAGCCCCACCCCCCTGCCATACAGACCTGGACTGACCCCTCAACTTGGGCTGACCTCCCAATTAGGGGTTTACAACACAGAATATAATGTTAAAGCAATCAATTCTGTGCATCATGTAGTGGATAATAATCCCTCAATATGCATGTTCTATATTAAGAGGGAAACTTAACTTTAATCTCAGTGTTTCATGTTCAGAGATAAAAATTACACACTACAACACAAAATAGTGATAATTTTGCTTCAGACTGACATTTCATTGGATAATACTTGTTTTATATTTGTGCTGGCTTGAACAGCTGATCCTTCTCCAAAAGAAAAACAATGCAAACCTTGAAAAGTGGACTTCTCTTATAGACATCAGTGCAAGCATAAATAGATTAAGAACCAAACTGACTGGAACTGCTCCCTGCAGATTAAATCAGAGCTGTCAGGACATGCAGTTTTGCTCACTGTGTGTGCTTTTTGCTTGACTGACAACTCGCAAACTGGCTGCATTCCAATAAGCAGAGCTTTACTGGAACTTCCTGGGGGCTGGTGTGTGTGTGTGTGTACATGCGCATGTGCATATGGGTATGTCCACCCCCTGAAAATTGTGGATAACTTAAAGAAATAATATGATTCTTAACAGTACTCCACACAGGTAAACTGATTATGCCTGCAGTCAGGAATAACAGGCTAAGTACAGGTGTTCAAAAAGCCCACAGCAGAGGTGGTCTAACTTTCGAGCTTTGCTCTAACTGCCCTCATTTAGGTCAGGAGGAAGCAGAACACGTTACCCTTTGGGGGAGCAGGAACTCAGAGCCTGCCTGCTGGACCTGAGTGCAGCAGATGGAGGGGCTCTCACATACCTCCAAGCATGCCATGCAAGCTCCCTAGGCTGCTGAAGACTCCTAAACAGAGCCAAGTAGCCAAGACGCCCCTGACTGGCTGGTGAGGAGATCACAACTGCCCACCTGGACCTGATGTGGCAGTGACTCATCATAACATGTACCAGCAAATGTTACCTGCATAAACTGAAGAGAGGCTTCAAAGTCCTCCACAGGATACATCTTAATGCGAAAGAATTTCATTCCCATTATTAGACTGATAATGCTTTGAACCACGTAAGGGCTTTGCTCTTTATGTCGCAACTCTTTTAATTCTGCCATGAATTTTTTCTTCACAGCAGGAAATCTAGGGAATCAGATTGGTGAGTTACAAAACAATAGGCTGGCAGTAATATTTAACATGTATTACAAGGTACCTAAAAGAAAAACAATAAAAGAATTCTGTTTTAAATCATCATTTGAGCTTTAGCATATCTTACTAGATTTCTTTCTACTTGGCATTTGTATGGTTGTGTTGTCCTTTGGGATTGCCCTACAATATTATCCATCTCTCTAACCCCTTCATTAAGTTGCAGTATCTTTATGACTAAAGATCACTGAACATGACTCCCTTGCTGCCTGTAAACATTAAAGATGGGCTGAAAGGATGGGATGACTGAATGCAATGCAAACCACTTTCCTTTATCTTAAAGGCAAACTGTACTATTTCCTACCCTGCACAAGCTTAGAATATGAGAGTAAAGTATAGAGTCCAAGCTCCTGATATTGCTGTGCATCTAATAAGCTTTCCAAGTCATTCTGCATTAGTGTTCTTTCATATATACAATCTAACTCTATTATAAATTAGTCCTCCTACATGTTTTGGAATTCAGGATAAAAGACATTTTATTGTAAGCATTTGCAATATTTACAAAGGGAAAAGTTTAAATGATAAACATAAAAATATTCAGCTAGGTTTTAGATTCTAGCTTTAAGGTTCTCTTGGTAGCTGTTACAATATCATTGAATCTTATGTACTGCAGTTAATTTATTTTACAAATATAAGAAAATTCTATGGATTCTCACACACCATGGTGTAGTAATGGTTGACAAACGCTGAGTTTTTTTTAAAGGTCAGTTACTATAAATGGTGTTATCAGATATACACTTATAAAGTACACCTTTATTTTGTACCTGTGCCTATGTCCTTACAATTGCTAGTTATTATCTTGAGTTAGATGTGGGACTCAGTTGAAGATGCCAGTGTTACCTAAGAACTGGTTGAGTACACTTTAATAATGGTAATTGGGTCAAAAATATCTCATGTTGAAAATGAATTTAGATAGTGTCTGTGTAGAGATGCTCTGCTTACCAGGGCGCCCCTTGGAATAACCAGGAACAATGGCAACAAGCTGATAGAGAGTAGATTAGGGTTGGATATCAGGAAGAACTTCTAGGGTTGCCAACATCTGGAATGGGCTTCCAAGGGTGGTGGAGCTCTCCCCTACTTTGGGGGTGTTTAAGAGGAGACTGGACAAGCACCTGGCTGGGGTCACATGACCCCAGCACTTTTTCCTGCTGTGGGTGGGGGGTCAGACTTGATGATCCATTGAAGTCCTTTCTGACCCTAGCATCTATGAATCTAAGACTGCTGCCAAATGTTCCTAGACTGAACTCATCAAGACACCATTCTGTTTCAGCTTTAGCAAATAATTTAGAATTTTAGGTATGGATGCTTCACATGGTACTCTGCTTCAGTTTCCTGCTGCTGAGCATGGTCCATCTCCAACTGCAGTTTTGGATGGTAGAGAGACAGAAGGGGAAAAGTCCTCTTTTCAAGAAGTATTGAAATCTTCAGAAATCATCCAGCTGTAGTGTGCCAGGTGCCAAACTATTAGCTCAGGTCACTAACTACTAGGGCTGTGCAAAATTTTACCTGGCATTTTGTTTCGAGGCTGTTTCAATGCATTTGGAGCTCAAATCTAAATGAAACAGAAGCCTTTAAAACAGCTTCGAAATGAAACAAGGGCACTTGAAACATTCTGAAAGTTTCAAGATGTTTTGAGTTTTGAAGCCAGACTTGGCTTCAGCACCAGTCCCAGCCAGCAGCAGAAGCCTCCTGTCATCCCACACAGATCCAGGGGTGCGCCCCCCCCAGGAGGATTCTGGCACAGCCCCCAGCCCTCCTGGGGGGGTGGCCCCTGGATCTGTGTGCTGGCTGACAGCATTCTGCAGCAACCTCCTGTGATCTGGCAGGCAGATCGGGGACCTGCCCACACCGCTGGGAGGAGTCCAGCAGAGCCCTGCATCCTCCCAGGGGTTCAGGCCCCCAATCTGATTGCCAGTGCTGGGAAGATTGGTGCTGCCGCCAGTCCCAGCTGGAGGGCTTTTCCAGACTCCTCTCAGGGGTGCAGGGGGCCCCCAATGTGCCTTCCAGATCACAGGAAGCTCTCCTACTGCCTGGGACTGGAAGCAGCACCAATCTTCCTGGCACTGGGTGCAAGTTGCACCCAGCACCAGTCCCAGGTGGCAGGAGCAACCTCCTATGATCCAGCAGGCAGACTGGGAGCCCCCCGTACCCCCAGGAGGAGTCCATAAGAGCCCTGCAGCCCTCCTGGGGGTGCGGGCCCCTGGATCCACCTGCCAGATGACAGGAGGCTGCTGCTGCCGGCAAATGACTGTTTTGCTTGTCAGCACCATGTAGTGCAGTTTCCCAGAAACCTCTCCACTTATCTCCTTGAAACCTGGCAGGCTTCATGCCCTCAGAAGGGGATATTATCCCTGCAAGTTTCATCCAAATCAGGCTAGAAATGACAAAGTTTATAGGCAGTTTTGTTCTTCCCCATTATAGCCTATGGATGAAACGTAAAAACAGTTTTGACGAAACTAAATGGAACAGTGCTTTTGAAATGAAATGAAACTCGAAATAAAACACTGTTCCGCCAAAATATCAAAATGGAAGTCGAAGTGGAATGGTGCTGTTTTGCACAGCCCTACTAACTATTTCTTTGTTTGGGGATGGCGAGGAGAACATAATAGGTTTCTCCCCATGGCTACCGTCTGGAGCATAATCTTGAACATGTCCTCGTGTTCTGGAAACAGGTTGGTGGCAGGGGTGGATTGAGAAGGGGTGCAGGGCTTGCTTTTGCATCTCCCTTCAAACGTGCTTTGCATAAACATTGAGCTCTCTGAGCTTACCAGCTTGTCCATGCAGGTCTAAACTCCAAGGGATGAATGCTGATACTTGCTCCTTCTCCCTCTACTTTCCTTTGCCATTCAGTGGTGGGCAAGGGGATGGGTGTGGGGGTAAGCAGAGCAGTGGTAGCATTCACCTTTTGGGTTCTGAATAAGCTTTTGGTTGTCCTATAAATATCATCTCCTTTGCATGCATCTTCCGTGCCAACTCCTTAGTAAGATCTTTTAGGGACCACTCAAGTTGTGAAGTCTTGGTGGAAAGGTCAAGCTGTGAAGGGGAGAGCTCTAATTCCTTCTTCCTTCTACCTCTTCCAGTGGGATTTCTTGTTTGTGTTGGTGAACTTGTACACCAGAGTGATGAAGGCACTCTACAGGAAAAGGAGCCCATGCTCACACATTTCAATTCCAATGAGGCATGTCTGGGCATGATGTTGGGTCTATATAGATACGTGTCCAGACTAAAATCTACAGTCAACTTAAAGAACACCATTTGAAATGATTTCATGAACAAAATAAGAGAGAAAATCTTTGAATATAAAAAAAGAGAATGGGATGAGCACTTTTCTGCTTGTTGTATTATTGTTCTGCTTATTACCAAATGGAATTCTGAACTGAACTAGAAATTAGAAGTCTGAAAGCAGATAACCCAGGGAGGAAAGAGAAAACATTAAATGGAAGAAATTACAGGGTAGATGATAGAGAGAGAAAGGAATGAAAATATCTTCAGGGAGAATGGCATACAATGGTCCTATGGTACTCTGTACGTATCTATGACTCTCTTCAGCAGTCACATGATTTTATTGTCCTTACTCTCCCATAAAATCTCTCTGGGAACTGCCATTTCCATCATTCTTTTTGTGATGTAGGTTCCAATTCTCCAAACACCAAGTATAGCGTTTCTTTCATGAATAGCTCTATTGACTCCACCACAAAAAATAATTTAGTAGAAAAGGATAACATAAAGAATGGACCAAAAAAAATAATATAAATAAAACAATATAAGGGAAAAATAGGTAAAAAGAGGAATGGAAAACCAAAAAAAGAAGAAACATAGGATTTTTAAATGTTATTAAATTAAACTGAATTGTATTTTACTTCATTCCCAGTTATCATTACTGCTGACTGTTTTTTAAAGAAGTGATAGCAGGTCCAAAAATGATCCTTGTGAATTCTGCATTTATGTTCAAGTATTATGGTTTTGTTACTCTATCTATAACAATTGCACCAGATAAATTTAGTTCTACATTAAAATAATCACAAGCAGGCTAAAAAAACATTTCTGTGACCAGGTAATGGGTCATTTTTAGCTCAGTCATGCTAATTAGGTGAAGTGACTTATTCCCATAGTTCCTTTAAAGAAATCCAGAATATCAGACTATCCATGCTTCTAGAATGATAAAAGGAAAATCTCTCAGGCTGTTTTAGACATTGCATTAAGTATACTTACTTAGCTTGTGCTAGCACACCTATTACTTCTGCATATAGATCTGCAACAATATGCATATTTCCAGTGTTAGGACCAAGATACCTAGCAAGAAATAAATCAGATAGATGAGACAGCATGCTACCTCTAACAAGTAAAAGTAAACAAGTCAACAAGCAATTCTTTCAGAATTTTTTTTTGTGTGGGTATTGGAAAGAACCTTACCCTTCTTTATATTTAAAGTGCTTGAACGCCAAGTTAATAACATCATGTACCAAACTGTCTATTACAGGATGAAGTGGAATCTGAAAATATAAAATAAAGGATAACTGACAATAAGTATGAAAGCGTAGGCTTCATACCTTAGTGTTAATATTACTTCTGGATATCATCCTTGCACAAATATTATACCAGCTGAAAACTGGGCCAGTCATATAAAGATGGCTTAGTACTGAAAACAAATATTTCATTTCTGAAAACATGGCAAAATGAAGTCTGTATTAACGATGAATTTAGTTCCCATAAGGGGGACAGGAAAACAGTAATAAGTAAAGAAGACATTTAACAGTCATTTTTGCCTTAGACTGTTTAGGCCAGTAGTTAACAATATTTTAAGGCTGCAGGCCAGACTGACCCAGTTAAGGTCTGAGATGGGCAGCTGGCTGAGTGCTAGGACACAGCCACTGCCACCTCTTTCCCCAGTAGTGAGATAGGGAAAGCACCTGCAGGCACCACTTTCTCTCCCCTGCAACAGCAGGGGAAGAGTGCCTGCAGCTGGCAGTTTGCCCCATGGTGGCAAGGGAAAGCAACTGCTGCTGGACCTCCCCCACTGCTGAATGCTACCAAAGCCCCATGTCTGCTAGCTGGATCAAATGGTTTCGCAGGCTGGATCCAGCTCACAGGCCATAGGTTCCCAAGCCTTGGTTTAGGCTACAAACAGAAATGAACAATTTGAACATCAGTGTGAGAGATAAAACAATGCGTATCTTCAAACATTTACCATATTATGAATAATTTGAGGATCATCTACCTGTTTTAAAACTTCTATTAGTACTAATGAAAAAATGAAATCGATAGCCAGATCTCTTCTTTCCATTAAATAGTCTCGCTGTTGTTCATCACTGCAAAATCAAAACAAGAAATACACTTGTAATGAGAAGTGGATCATATCTGCCATTATTACAGTACAACAAAATGAATAAAATGGGTTACATTTCTGTTTTTTTAAACTATAAACTTAAGTGAAAAGAAAGGGAAGCGCATTGGCAGTTGCTTAAAACCTATCATGCACAGCCCAGTTACTGACCTATTATCAGATGTCAGTATGATCTTTCTTTCATTTCCTCCCTCCCTTTTTACCTACAGAAACTAAAATGGGACTGATTCACTTCCTATAACTTATTTTTATGTTTCTGTTATAATTCAGCAATGGTTAAACTGAATTCCACTTGGTGTTTTTTATATTTTGATTTCTCTATGATTGTTGAATTTATTAATTTAACAATCATTTTTTAAGTAGCAACAGTAGCCTTGCTGGTTTAGTCAGAAATTAGTTCAGACTAAGTTTTTTTTTAATTAGGAGGCAAAGTTAAATTACCAAATCCACATTTAGCTCCTTCTTTGATTTTCAACCGCGTTGCTCCCCAATAAAATAAAATTTCTAAGTCAGACTCCTCAAACCACATTTAGACAACGAAATTGGAGGCCTGATTCTCCGAAGAATGAATAGTAGGAGGTACTTGACTTTATACATTAAGTTTTGAAAATTTTGGCTTCAGCATTTACTTAAGGTTGTATTACTGTTTACTGTGTCATACTGACTACAGGTCTATAATAAACAAGTGGGCAACAAAACTGCGCAAAAAGAAAATGGAAAAGAATTTTAGTCAGTGAACAAAATTGGACTTGCAAAAAGAAGCTCAATCAATGTATCAAAGATCATTAGAAAAGATTTGCTTGATGTGGTGAAATTTTATTTCAGTTTCTTATTCTATCCTGATTGAATAAAACTAGAAAAAAGCATCAAAAGCATGACATAATAGTGATAATTGTTTTTGCTTCCACTATAATTAAGTTCTATTAATTTAATTATATTTATTAATTTCAATTATTCTATAAATTGGCAAGAATAAAGAAAATCTTCAAGCTGGCCTAGTAGTCTCATACCAGAAAGCCTCCCTTAAGCCCACATCCTCTAGCAGGCCAGCACTGAAATGCCAGTAGGCTGACCCTGGACACCCAGACCCCAGTGTGGCCTGGGCCCAGACAAAGTGGTGATCGCTGAAAGGGGTTGGCTGGATGCTAGAGGTGTAGACCCAGGCAAAGTGGGGCAAAGAGATGTAAACACGGTCAAACCAGGAGTGGCATG